AAGATGGAACTATAAAAAGAAAATAAGTAATTACAAGGGAGAGCACACATACAAAGGACATAAACCAGCTTGCTAGTAACCTTTACCAACAAGAATAAAATGCACTGTTAAATTAATGGCAATTGTTCATGAGCTGTCAGTTTTCTCAGGAGTATCTAGTAGAACATACCAGGAATTAAGAAACAGAGCATTTTCATCTTTTGCCTAACGAGGAATAATGAGAGAGAGTGTAATCATCTAATTTCTAGCAAACAACCACACTATTCTCACTAACAAGAGGAGATGTAGAAAATATCCCCAGAGAAAAGAGAGCATCTTTCCACTTATACTGCTTAATGTCAATAACACCATCAACTTGCATAGAATTACTCTCAATTTACTCCTGGTTCCAGTTTAGGAAGGAGATTCAGACCCAAAGAGAGTAGGATTTACTTACTAGTAAATATGAATCTAGAAAATGAGAGGATGTACCCACCAGTTTTATTCTGAGTTGATGCCATATGCTCTTCATCTCATTTAAAATGAATAACCAGAAGCCTGTCTGTTCCCATAGGCAAAGATTCTCCCTTCAGCTGAGTTCCAGTTAGTAAGTAGTGAAATTCCCTTCCCTGAGCCCCACAGTCCTACCTCACATGCATTGCTGGACATGAATAAAACCCTCTGCCTTGAGCACAGGATGTGTGTACTGGGGGAAATCAGCATCAAGTAATCCAGCTGTCTGTGCTGGTTCTGTACAACTTTTCTACAGGCTAAGTCTCAGAACAAAACTTATTCCCTAGCCATAACACTCAAAACCAGTTGTGAGTGTGAAAAATGGGTTTATTTTCAAGTGAGTCATAAAACCCCTTCTCTTTTGTTAGAAAAAATGCAATTTATACTCATATTTATGTAGGAGAGTAGATATGTTTCTAGAGAAGTAATCCCAGATCTCCATATATTCACTCTACTCTGTTACATTGCAGGTAGAAATATTTATAAGCATGTCTTCAGGCAGATACAGTTGAGGCAAGTGGAAGCAAAGTGGTTCATGAAAGCAGGAGTGAAATATCAATAGCATTTCAAGGGTGTATCCTAAAGGTGGTAAATGCGTGTAGGAGAAATAATAATATTAAGTGCTATTAGGTCTGTATGCCTATGCATACAGGACAGATGTTACCCTTTTGTGCACCTTCTGTTTCTTACATGGTTTTCAACTACTGCCTGATGATAAAGTTGTGTATTCTGCAGGCAAAAGTTGAATTCATAGAGACATCTTGTAATCAGATTCTGACTTCCTCCCTTGAATATGCTTGAATTACTTTTTTTTTTACACTTCAGAAAACCTTTCTGACAATACTTCATGTGAAACTAGGTTTCTTGAACTGAGAATTTTAAAGCATTGTTTTCATTGACATTTTATTTCTGTGAGTGAAGTGTATTTCAGATTAAAAAACCCACAGTGTCAGAAGAAAGGTAATCTTAGTGCCTGTGATAGTGTCTTTTGTATTATTGCTGTTGCAAAAAAATCGAGAACAACAACAGTACTCAAATTCTGTAGAGAACTTTCAGTTTTCAAAAGCAAAAGGAGAAAACTAAACCTAATTAATGAATTGTCCAAGTCATACCTTGTTATCATCCTCATTTTACAATTATAAGAAAAAAAAAAAAAGAAGAAGGAATAAGCCTAGGGTGCCCAGGGTGTGTTTTCCCATTTTCTTAAACAGTAAGTGACTTCTGCAGCCAGTGCAGTTTGTGGGAAGTAAAAGCAGATGAGAACTTGCACACCTGATGGAACCACGGTGGCACTCGGATCCTTCCCTTCCTGTGGGAAGTTCCTTTAGAGAACTCAGAATTTGATTGTGGCAAGCTGCACTCATGTTTGTGTGAGGCAGGAGACCCTCATCCTTCAGGGCTGATAATTTCATGAGTGGTCTCTTTATCTTAGGTTCTAAGATATGATGTTGTCTGTGAAGTCTTGTGGTGCACAAAAGTTCCAGCCCTGCACTTGAGGAGGTCTGGTATGACTTCACAGCCTGAGTAGGGGCTGTCCTGAAGTGAGCATTGAAAGTGAGGCCAGCTATGGCTTGGAACACCGGAAGATTTCTTACCATCTTCCTGCCACTATTATTAGGATACATGGAAATGGAAATACTAAATAAAACTACTCACTTGTATAAACTCCTTTTGTCCTCCACTGTACTAGATCCCTGATTGCCAGTTGTAATTTCTGAATCTCTGTGTAATGTATGTTAGGAAGCTTCAATCAGCTGGATATCCACACAGGGACATGAGATGTCTCTGTGCTCAGCCTGCTGCAAGGTACATCAGCCATTCCCTTTCATCAGACAGTGTTCCATGACTAACAGGCTTTGAAATCTGTAGTAGCGTTTTCTTTCAGAACCTATCTGTGTCATAATTTGGGGTTTTTTAGTACTGTATGCTTTTTGAATTCCTAAATTCCTCATTATTTTTCTATTACTAGTGAAGCAACCTTAATTTAACCAAGCTACTTTTAATAATGTCCATATTGCATGAAAGTCTAACACAGAAACTTACTTTCATAGTGTTTCATGTGAATAATTATGTGCCTTAAAGCTATTATGTGGTAGTAAAGTTAACTTTCATAATGAATTAATTCCATGAACAGACAGAATAACTCTATTTACGATAGCCTGAAAAGAGAAGGGAAAGTTACTCTGGTTTTGTTGACATTAAGGTACATGTGATAGAAGTAGGAGAGAGCTTCTTTCCCACTGGAAGTTATTTTAAAAAAAAACAGGTAATAAGGTTAATTGTTTCAAAATCTAATAGATACTCATAAATAATTACCAGAACTATTATCTTTGTAGTTTGTGTGCTCATGTCTCCAATCATCTACAATGTGTGTAAAAAATAATTCAATTTTCTTTTAAATCCTATTTAATTTTCTGTAATGATAAAGAGGCCACCATCTTTCTTGCTAGTGCTGCTTTTCAGAGTGTCCTTTACTGTTTGAATATGGCTCTGCTTTTTCACCACTTTCTGCTTCCTCACATCCACGTGCTGCTCTGTCAGTGGCCTTGTTTGTAAAGGCTAATGACCACGCCAGGCTGGAGAAGTTGTCTTGGCTTCTTTTGACTTCCTAAGAACCTTTTTGTACTCAGCCTGACAGTAAAAAAGGCCGGACCACACTTCATGTTGTATTCTCTCAAATGACAGAAACCCAGCTTAAATGGGATTTTTTTTTTTTTATTTAGTTACTAATTTTCCAGATTGTCCACATAGGAAGTTTGGACTATTCAGGCTAGAAATATGGTTGTCTTGATGCAATTGAGTATCTTTGGGTAGAGACATCTCACCAGAGAGAGCATTCAGAATATTAATTGGTTTGCTCTGGACCTTAATAACAATATATTATGACAACTATATAATTAACAAATATATAAATCAGTTATTATTTACACCATACTAGTTAGAATACATGCAGATGTTTTAGTGATGCTGGTGTATTGCTCAAATTTGACTTTCAAATTTATATTGCATGAAGCTGAAAAAGACAAAATTATTCTGTAGATAGAAAACATAATGAGAAAAATGTCTGTTTAACAGTCTTGAGCACCCACCATTGTTTACATTGTAACTAGATTATGTAATTTCTAGAATAGGAAGGCACTGTTTTTTAGTTAAAATTAAAGTATGATTTTTTTTTGATCGAGTAAGTAAAAACAGCAGAAATTACTTTGTGCTTGTATGTGTGAAAAAATAAATCCTTTCTAATCTGTAATCAGATAAAAACTTGAACCTTTTGTTTTCTTCTTAAATGCTTCTTACAGAGAATTCTAATATGTTTTAAAAGACAGCACAATGGTAGTGAAAACTTTATGGAGAGGTAGATTTCTTTGCAACAACCAGATGGAGGAAAGAACAACATCAGATGTTATGAATAAAGTTTATTACATTTATAGCCACATTGTAAAAATCCTGCAAGTTCAGGTGTCTGAGTGACTTTCAGGTGAGAGGAAACAGTCTCAGGCTGTACCAGGGGAGGCTTAGATTGAATATTAGGAAAAATTGCTTTATGGAAAAGATTGTCAAGCACTGGAACAGGGAAATTATTGAGTCACCATCCTTGGAAGTATTTAACAGATGTATGGAGATTCTGTGGATCAGTGGAGGTTTCTGGTTTTTTTCACCATAGGTACTAAGTAGCAGTGACCTCCTAAGATTGCCTGTGAACATTTAGCCTTATTCCTAAGAAAGTGGATCTATCACTGCTTTCCCAACTTCAAGTACCAGAGATATTTCTTCTTTAAATGTTTGATAGCATCTTATAAAGAAGATTTAACTGGGAAAGAGCTAGAGTTCAAAATTTTTTCTTTAGCTCGTTGCTACAAGGCTTTACTTCATGAACCACAGTGCAGGGATGGGTGTGACACATACCAGTGCTCACCACGCAGACTGAAAAGGATAGGGGAAATTAAAACCCTTCTGGCTGTCCCACCCAACCTCTTGCAAAGGGCACTGAAGCTTTAGAGAGATTTAGAGAAATAGAGAAGCTGTTATAAGAAACTGTGGCCCTTGGAACAAGTCTGTTTTCACCTGGTTCTAACCATCAGTTACCTTCATAGTGACTGCTGGATTTTAAATACTGCCTTACTTAAAGAGTTTCCAGATAGAAACCATGCATCTCTTTTCCTGCAGAATATGAGACATCTATATTTTGCTCTTTCAAAAAAAAAATTAGGTAGGGGAGCTTTCTGCTAATGCAAATGATGAACATAGCCTAAAGAAGGTTTTTGCTGTGAAGTAAAATTTTTTCATTAAATTCTTCCTTACATATCAGGTGAAACAAGTTGACTAACTTGAACATAAGATCAACAAGCCCCTCCTTAAACCTTCAAAAATCCCAGAAAATTAATGAGTACATCAAGTTCCAACTTATGCAAATGTAACATATCTGAGCCTCACATAATAATAGAATTGCTGAGTCCTGTAGTGTTGAATAACCAAATTAATCAGACTTCTTGAATTACTCTTTACAGATCTGTACCCCTGATTTGGTGGTGTTTCTGGCATGTTCCAGTCAAAGGCTGAAAGAAAGGTTACTGAAGCGTGCGGAACAGCAAGGGAGACCTGACGATAACCTGAAAGCCACTCAAAGAAGACTAATGAATTTCAAGCAAAATGCAATTCCACTGGTTAAATATTTCCAGGAAAAAGGGCTGATTATCACGGTAAGTTCTTTAGTGTATATCTCTGAAACCTTCATTGTTGTGGCTGTACTTGGCTTCTTGTACCTTTTACTTTAAGACAGGTTAGACGAGTCTAATTCAGTTTTAAATTAATAGCATGCCTATGTAAGTAATTAATGAAGAAAACTTATTCATTGAGCAGTTGACAACAGTTGAATTATTGGCATGTTCTAAGTTACAGACTGTGTCTGGTTGTAATAACACACAGACCTTGGTACCACATGTGGTATGAGAGCACAGATGGCCTGTTTCTTTGCCTTTGATACCCGAAGTATTTCACATTGGTATGTGCTCCTCACAGCAAGTGTGACTAATTCTTTGTGCTGGTCAGACTCATGACAGGTAAAAGCATCCTTAATTGCAAAGTCATCAATTAATGTTAATAGCCTTAATTATGTAATTCAGCATCTTTCTGAATTTCAAGAAGAAAATCCCAGGAAATTATTGCATTAGCTTCTCCAGAGAGTATATGTTCTGGGTTAAGGATTTTGATTAGCTCTGTTTTCAAGGATGAGAGTTCTAAGATTCTTACAAGTTTTTCTTTATTGTTGAGGAAGTGTGTATTTTGAAATGCTCCTATAGCCTTTACAAGTGCTCCTATGGAATGTGTTTCTAGCTCTTCAGGAAATATATGCCTTTGTGCATAAAGAATGTGGGGCATCGGGATAGAATTGCATTTGTGTGATGCAACCTGTAAAACAGATTTTGTTCTTATGGAGGTTTCATCTACTTTTTAACTCTGTTTTTTGAGAGTCCTGAAGATAATTTAAATTGCAATGTTCACCTTAGATATCCTCTTTTCTTTTTGAAGAAAGCAGATGTTTATGATGGGTATGGAAGTGACAATATGGCATATGAAGATTAAATTACTACAGCACAAAGGAAACAGCATATACAGAAAATATTGCACTCATTCATGCTATTTCCCTAGCAAAGGAGGCAGAAAGGAAGAAAATAGCATTCATCCTGCTGCTAATAATGCTGAACCTGGAAGACACTGAAATACTATGCAGATAAGAGCAGTGTAAGAACTAGAACAGCATAAAATAGAATTACAGTAGCCTAATTCCCAGAGGAGTGAATGCTTGAGGCAAGGTCAGACAAGGTCAACATTGACTAGAAGGAAATAAAAATATTTACATTTTTCTTAAATCCCTACCTGCTCCTTGTCCCTGCTATTTAAAGCTGTAAATCTCAGACACTTCTAGCCAGCATCATGATTCTACTCAGGGGAGAGAAGCAGGACCATTTGTCTTATGGAGTGTTATAATTTTAGAATCACAACTCATATTTTATACATGTACTTAATAAATGTTGGTCTTCATCAATATCAGATGGGGAAAAAAGAAAAATTCACTGAAATATAACTAATTATTATTAATAAGCAGGCATCATATATATATATATATATATATATAAAACTGTAATCTACTGTTGAACACTTTATGAGCAAGAAATAAAAAATCTAAATTCCCAAAGAAGATTCATTTTCACACTCAATGAAAATAAATGTTAAAAGCAGTTATTTCATACTGCTTTTAACATACTTTGGTTAATAGAATTAAGAGCCACATTCTTCATTTCAGCTCTCTTACTGGTTAGCTTCCTTAGGTGTAAGTCTTGCCCTTCATCTTTTTTTTTTTTCACATGATCTGTGATAAATTGCTACAGTACCCAGGTTGTACTTGTTTGGTGCTCTGTATGCCTTATGTTCTCAGTCTCAGCCTGGTGTACCTGCTCTCACAGTCTGATCCTGGTTTCTGTTTTTAAAGAAAGAAGTGAGGCCTCCACCTACGGTACTTCTAAGAAATAGGGAAATACAACTCTGTCCTTTCTGAAAAACTCCCTCTTTGGAATAATTATATGTAAAGTTCATTATAATTAACAGAAGTAAATATGTGATATTTTCATGAACACACAGCCTGTGTTTAAAATTCATTTTAACAATCTGTCAGTAATCTAACAAATCAGAGCCTGACTTCACTCAAATTTAAATTCAGAAGTTACCAAGACTATAACAACACAATATTGGACAGGGAGTATGTAAATAGATGCATATGCTGCCATTTACTGTTTCAGAAATTTTTAACAAATGTTAAAACCTTATGTATTGTTTACCTAGACAATAACTGCATACAAATTACCTGGTGGTGGTGGGGAGACATTAGTTTGATTAAGTTTTAAGAGGGAGAACATGCAGGTACATAGGTGACCTCAAGTACTCTAGTGTTTAGCAGAGAACTTCAGTTCTGGACACAGATTTCCAAATCTCCAGTTTATGTGGACTGTAATCCACCATAGTTAATGGTGTAGTTCCTGGAGAGGAGATCACTTTGTTACAAAAATCTTTCAGATCTCTCTCAGAGAGCTTAGCTGTTCTTAGTAGAACATATCCCTTGGTCTAGACAGAAAAAAAGTTTACAGAGCTTATTGTTGTAGTAAGTAGAAGTTTCTCTTACTGGAGGCAGGATTTGGACCAGTGTGCCTTATTGACAATGAATCTACATAATCTTAGAGCTTCAGTGTCAACCTTGATACATTAATAAATCTGTGTGCACTTAAGGGAAAAAAGAAAAGATTGGCTGTAGTGAGACAAAAATACTAAACATTAAAAGAAGACTCTGGTCCTTATTTAAACAGCCAGAACATGACAGCATCCCGTGGCATCCATGAAATGTGGATTTCTCTGATATCTTCATTGTTCCACTTTTCCTTTTAGGGAATTTACCATACTTATGAAAACATTCAGAATGACATTCAGATTAGTCAGAGAAGTAAAGAGAACCCAGAAAAAGTAGCTGAAGCTGGAAATGGATTTTGAGCACAAATTTAGAAGTTAAACAGTTGCGGGTGAGGGAAATAGCTGTCTGCCCTCATAAGCATCAAACAAGCCTAATGGCTGTCAACTGTCACAAAAAAATTCCCCATGGAACTGTGTTATATAAATTTTTTCTCTTGTTTTGGTTAAAAAAGGAGTTTTGCTATAGAACTTGCACATTGACATGAACTTTATCTAAAGGCTGTGACTTATCAAAATGCTGCTGAAGTTATAGTTTATTTCTAAAGTTTCTCTGTTATCGTACAGCTGCCCAACTTGAGATGTTGGTTTGGGCTTGTTATTTGTTTGCTTCAGAATGGTGATTCCAAAAGACTTGCACTTACTCATTCTTCATTTAATTTCAAGCTCGTCCCTAGAGAAATATGGGTCCTGCAATCCTTTAAGCAGATCCCAAGGCCCATTCAAATTTCACTGATAGCAAACTCTTATGAAAGGCTTCACAGGAACTCTCACCCGCTTTCCACGTCCTAATGGCAGCCTCTGCCAGGGGTGTCTCCCAAACCAGAATCCAGCCCAGAGAATCTTCTCCTCAGTGGAGGAACATGCACCTGGTTTGGCAGAGCACCAGACGAGTAGATGCCTTTGTTTTCTCGGTGGCGATATTTGCACGCATCCGTTCAGCTTTTGCACTAAACAATCGTTAAAAAGAAAATTTTAAAAATCCCACTCCTCCTTCCCTGAAGTGATGCTAGGAATAGGGACTGTTAGCCACCACCTCCCCCGCGTGCTCTCACCTCCCTGCTGCAGGCTCAGAATCTCATTTACGTGCCATCTGATGCCTGGATCTTGCGTCCTCGGCTGCAAAATGATACAGACTTGGCAGGAATGGTTTCCCTCAAATGTAGCCTCATTGGTGTCTGAGTATGGCCTTCCTCCCCACAGGTCAGAGATGGGGATTTGAACCTGCTTTGTTTTCTAGAGGATACTGAGCTGAGATTTTCTATTAATTGGTCCAATGCCAATAATATTTCCAGAAGCCTCTCAGTAGTTTTAAAAATACAACAGCCATAAGCCCTATTAATTGGCCCAATGCCAATAAAATATTTCCAGAAGCCTCTCAGTAGTTTTAAAAATACAACAGCCATAAGCACAGTCTTTAAGGAGCATGTGAGATGTGTTTTTAACCTGACTACTACGTAGGATCTTCAGAGTACTTCTGGCTTCTTGGGCATGACCTAGTGGACATGCAAAGAGGAACCCAGACATCTGGAGCAAACCTTCAATGTTTTAGGACTTTTTCAAATCAAACAAGGATTGTAGGCAGCTATTTGTGGGAATCTTGAAACCAGAGGTTTTGTTTGAGATTCAGGGGTCTCCCTCTGTTTTACTGTATGGTAAATCTTTATCTAGCTCCATGAATGTATATGGTTACATAATAATTTTAAAATTTCTGTAGAGAGAAAAGTAGAGGTGGGATGGGAAATAATGACTATCATATTCATTTTTTGGTGATTCAAAGCAGTGAAAGTTAAGTTGAAGCTTAAAACAAGTAACCAGAGCTTTGCAGTCACAGAAAGTCACTGAAAATTAAGGTTTGCTGTGTCTCTCCTACATTTGATAGCCCTTCTGCAGAAAAACTGGGCTAAGAGCAAGAACCTGGAGCTGTTTTCTGTAAAACTGCTGAACTAGAGAAAGCTTACACGTGTTCTAATCACTGCTAGGTTTTACACTGCGTCTCAACACTATTTATGTGGTACTGTTTTGTCAGATTTTGAAGAACATACAAAGAAGGTCCATAAATGAATTTTATCTAGAAATGAGTCTAAACAAACTGTTTGTAAATATATGCACATTTTATATGGGAATGATAGATGAGTAATTTGTGCATATATAGAAGCATGTGCACCATAAACACTTTCAAGTTTCAAAATATTTTCAGTCTCCCATTTTATGCTTTATGTCAACAAGTATATCAGACATACCAATGTCTGCCAGAGAATGACCAAGGATGGAAACTTGCCATCTGTGTACATAGAAGCATGAAGAGAAACCTTGAGGGTAGAAATCCTTTGCTGAGGTGAATAGTATCAGTGCAACACTATGTTCTCTTCTGACTTTGGAAGTATGATAATTTAAACAGCAACAAGCTCTTTGAAACCTGCCCTGCCTTATGTACACCCCGTGACTTGAATGAAAAGATGAC